TTTTATGAATTTTGTGACTTCTTTGTTCAATTCTGTATATATATATCCGTGTCAGTGTAAATTACTTACACTTGATGATGACAAAACCTTGTCGAAACGTTGTACATTTGCTGTTATGTTAAACTTATATTAAAGTTTTTCTTCATTGCCCATTCAAGCCGTCTCCAGCCACATTTATGAATTACTTATTTATAGACTTTACTTGAACACTACAAAAAAAAACCGCCAGTTGCTTTCTGTATATGAGCAAATATCGATAACGTTTGAGGAGGTAGGTAGCAAGGCTTATGTAAATTACTGTAATTGGGTACGTATTTGAAAGTTTTTACAACGTCTAGACAGAGCCGTCAGGGAAAGCGAGGAGCTGCAGCATTATATGTATGTATTACTGTTTCGAACGAAGGTCGTCTCAGATAAGGGGCCCTTGACTTTTGCGCAGTGTGTGTATGTCCTACTTTATTTTTCTGTGTTGTGTTGCTTGTTAGATAACCATCTGCAATTCTGCTGCAGTGCACGTGCGTCAGTTGCAGCGTGATTTCTGTCTATTAATCAGGTAGCTGAAATACCAGCCAGTAATATGATAGTTCACTTTTTATATCTTATTGAATCCACATTCAAATATTACTAGACGTACTTGTGTAGGGTCCCTATTTTAATATAGCTTCAAATTTCTCCAACAACTTTCAAATCTTCCATACATATATCACAGTAAGCATTTTGAAATATAACAAAATATCAATTGGATTGAATATGTACATTAAATTAAGTGTACCATAGGGTCGCCGAAAGTGTTCTGTTTCAAATGTAATTAGAAACAAAGTCAAGAGTAACACGAATTTCATATGTCATGCTGTGTTGTAGCCTACAGAGTGTATAATTATTCTCGCGAACCATGGCACGCGCACGTTTTACTGATGTCACGACAGTACAAAATGCAACATTAAACATTCCTTATGTTTCGTCATTTTGTGTCTACTGACTGACTGACAGACAACACATTTCTGTATATTGGTGCTAGTGTTTAAAACAGGTGACCCCACCAGGCGGCCTTCTTTAGGGGAAATTAAATCGAAACTGTTTTCTAACCGTTAAAGGTCTTCACAGCAGTTTGTTTTAAATGCGTTTCGCGAAACATTATTAGTATAATTCCTTATAACCATCTGACGTTGCTTGTCTTAAGACTACGTATATGACTGTAATTAAATAACGCAGAGTGTGCTTTTCCTTCTGCAATAGAACCTGAAATTTCAAAACTAAACAATTGTACTTGGTTAGGAGAGTAACAAAAGGCGGCTGTGAACAGTATCATTTATTTTTATTTGAAGACAGAACTAGACAAAATTCAAACAATAAACTGAATTTTATCTTATGAGCTGCGGCTTATTAAATCTTCCTTTACTTAATCCTAGAACTAACGCTGATGTCCCATCGGATTAAAAACAAACAAGAATAAAAAAAACAAAAACAACGCTTTTTTAACTGTTTATCTACTAAATTTCTTGTGGATCCATGGCTTTGTTATATGATCACTAGTTTATATAAATAAACGTCAATATGTGTGTGTATCTGTTCCTTATATGTTTCCACATTTCTGGATCAATCAACACCAAAATTTAAATAGTGATACAGGGTGACATAAGGAAGGTCGGGGGGGGGGGTACATCGAGTACACCCCCCCATCTAATTTCGGGAAAATTACCAAATCAGCACAACTTGACAAAGTGATACAGAATGACACGAGGAAGGTCATGGGGGGGGGGGGTTAGACCCCCATCTAATTTCATATTTATAGAATTCTTGAAAACAACATGTCTTTCTTTTCAGTATTGGTACCTTTATGTATTTTTATTACACTTTTAATGTTTATTGTGTTAAGAATAAAAATAGAAGCACGATTTCCTATCCTTTGTTATAAACGACTTTTTATTTCACCTGTCCAACGGACGGGTACTCCAGCTAGTAATACACAAGTCACAAAAAACATTTAACTAAAAATACCATCAGTATTGTAGTTAATCACCTTAATTAGTAGCGTTGTTTCTTATGTATTTATTTTACATATAAACTAAGCGACTTCACGCAATTACTTTATCCAGTTCTTTACGTTGAGCGTTGTATCGGATATAAAAGCGTTGTATTAAATATAAATATGTAGATCCCACAGGTATTG